AAAATCGAAAAATCGAAAAAAAGAACGAAAAATCGAAAAAAAAATCGAAAAAAAATCGAAAAAAAATCGGAAAAAAATCGAAAAAAAATCGAAAAAATCGGAAAAAAAATCGAAAAATCGAAAAAAAATCGAAAAAAAAAAAAAAATCGAAAAAAAATCGAAAAAAAAAATCGAAAAATCGAAAAAAAGAACGAAAAATCGAAAAAAAAAACGAAAAATCGAAAAAAAAAATTGAAAAATCGAAAAAAAATCGAAAAAAAAATCTAAAAAATCGGAAAAAATCAAAAAATAAAAAAAAATCGAAAAATCAAAAAAAAATCGAAAAAAAATCGAAAAAAAAAAACAACAGTTACCTATGTTTAATAAAAACTTTCCATTAGACTCGCAATTTATGACCATTATTCACCCTGCGTGAATAATGGCTACCATAAATTGCTCGTTTAATAATATACTATTAACTTACAAGTTTTTCCTGATTTTGTTGCTGTCTGCTGTTGTAGTGGTCTGATAATTTATAGACTATAATTGTTTACAAAAAGATATTTACTTGGATGCCCTCTTTTCAGCATATAATAAATAAAGCAAGAAGATGACTTAATATTTAATTTTGTACAAATATATAAAATATATTAATTTACACCAGTTAACTTAAAATAGTATTTTACAATTTTTACAATACTTACGAATGCCTCTTATTCGTAACTTATGTTATTGGTTTAAGAGAATAAAATTCAGAATTATATCGGTCTATATATATTGAATGAAACTCAAAGAGATATTCTTATAAAAATAATATTTTAAAAACTGAGGGAACAGAGTCGAAGTGTTTTGCTACTATTCGGCTTTGATTGGTCCGAATTTAATGATGGCTGCCGTTGAATGATGTTATCATATTTTGTTGTTGCCAACTTTGAGATATAACTACATATTTTCTCTTTTTCATGTCAACGATTTTAAAAAGAGTTTTTGCTTTTAAAATAAGTGAATATTATAGAAGGTCAAACAAACGTCTAATATATTATGAACAGGGGCGGTTTCTCCATTGGTTCATTTATGCAGTGAACACCCGGTAAAATTTCATAAAAACATATTATTTTAATATTACATAAATAACAAAAATATAAATTTAATTTTAATATTTTTATTTTCATACGTGTTAATCTATATTTTTTGTACATCATTGTCCTCTGGCTGATCGCGTCTCTGTGTCACAGTATACCTAAGTATACTGTGTCTTTGGTGCATTATGATGAGTGAGCCTAACACTAGTGAGACGATATGCCAAATGCATATAGCTAAAAAGAGAAGACAACACGCCAACAGATCCTCCAAACTGTCAAAGAACACATTAATTGGCGCGCCGCTCACAAACACAAAAGACAATTTACTAACTAATAATGTTTATAGATGGTTTTCAACGTATTAAAAACAAAACAAATATCACACTAAAATATTCTTTTATTAATAGTTGTAGTGCTTGAAAACAGTATGATGTTGATAATAATAACTACACTTAATACAAACTCAAATAAATATAAAAACAGCGATATTGGCTCTTGTACAAAGTTTTGATCCGAACTTACATATAATGAAATTATTGGAAAAAGTGAACACCCATTTTAAATTAACACAAGCCGCCACTAATTATGAACCCTGTACATCAAATTTTTTTTTATTTTTAGATATGATGTAAATGTATCACAAATTATAAAATAATTTAATTTTGTTTTTCTGAAGAGCAGGGCTGACTAAACAGCTCGATATTATTTTTTACAAAGTAGGCATAAGAAATGTATTTAAAATGATCGGTTATTATTTTTTGGTAACTTAATTGGACCCAGTACTACAAATAAATTAGTCACAGAAGACCTGCAAATAAATATAGGTATTATAGCGTTTTAACAGTACCTAGATTAAAATCGAAAATATTAAAGAAAATACCGTTAGAATAAATAGCGGCTTTGTAGAAACATATTACTATTAATGTTATTTGACTTTTTGGAGGTAATTACTTTTGTTTTTTATTTTTTGAATAGCTTCTAAGATGCAATCAGGTTCTCTTAATGACATTCCCCGATTATGCCTTGGATCTATCAATTCTGACAACATATAGTTTATATAAATTTTTTAATTTCTCCTCCATATGTTTACACCAGAAATCGTCTCTTTTTATTATATATTCCACTTTAAGTGGATAATCGGGACCTGTCCATACACCAAAAATACATCCTTTTGGTCCTGTAATATGTAATTGGCCTTGTAATTGATAATACCATTGATAGTGGATGTTAATGTCAAAATTATTGGTGTCTTTATTAAAAATCCAAAAGAGTATTTTTTTTTCAATTTAATCGCATCTTCTACCTGCATTTGATATGAAGCGTGTGGACATTTTATTTCAACCACTAATTCATCTCCTACAATGACGTCTGGAGTAGCATCTATAAATTTTAAAATTATTATTTTGATTTAAAATGAACTAATTTGCAATATGTTATAGTTGAGATGTGAGTAAAAATGTTAACTGATCGTTACGTATCTAAATATGGATATTTTTTGTCAATAAAAATTCCATAATCTCTAATCACTATATTTTCCTGCTCTTGAAGCTGCAAAAGTGCCGTTTTTTCATACTTTTTGCCATGAGAAATAGGAGCAGCATTGACTGGTGGTTGGTAAATAATCCTTTTGACTAAAGGCTCACATAAAATAGTAATTCGTCTAGTACACTCTGCTTTAAAGTGTGAGTCCGTAATAATTTTTCAACGAATTTCAAGCCAAACCCTGCTATCCGCCTGTGACATAGTTTGTTCCTAAATTACATTTCTTTTAACGTCAGATGAAAGGAATTCGTTTATAAATTGAAGTTTTTTACTGCATAAATATCTTGATCTAAATCCTTTTTGGTACAATTTTCTCCATAATCTAAATCAGTTTTATTGGTTTTTGCAGAATAACTTTTTTTAATTTTCGATTAGATTTTTATTTTATTCCCAATTGTCGCCTTTTTTTTTTCAATTCAGTTACTAACATCGATTGGTTAGTACGGTTTAAAGTTTTTTTCAATTCTGAATTCCCCGATTTCGAATTATATGATACAACTGCTGCAAAACATCTACTTTGGTAAGAGTGCCTCTGGAATAATTGATTCTTTGCCACCTACAAAGTTAGCGACTGTCTCATGAAATTGTTTCACAATATTGCTATCAACATCATGTAATAGACTTCTGCTGTGATCTGACAAAGCATGTATAATTTGTAGAAGTCTTGTAAAAAATTCAGGTTTAGATCTGAAATTGGTTATTTCGTTTTTGGTTTCATCTGTATGATTCTGACAAACCTAAATATCGCAGTTTTTATGACCACCAAAAACGTGAAAACTTGCATTGTCTATGTCTTTCTTTAAAAGCAAAACGTTATTAATAAAGCTAAGACTATTTTCTTTTCTATAAGAAACTGCCTTCGTAACAGATGTTCTTAAACGAATAATGTTTTGACTAATTAATTTTCTTAGTTTTATTGGAAAATTCACAAATAACTTTCTCTTTTAGGCTCAAAATTTTACTAAATACGTTCAAATCTTCAATTCACCGGTATAACTAAATAAATCGCCGATCCATTTCCTATGATAGGGGAAATGTTGCTCGACGACCCGTTCTTGGAATTTGAAGGTAGGGGTATAATAGGAGTAATATGCCAACAAATTAGTTCTCATGAACCGAGCAATAACTCTTAAACTTATTATTTATTAAGACTTTGATTGTTGGAGGAAATATCAGCCGTTTTAAGAACAGGTTATGTCTTGTGTTTGCTGCCTAATTTGCAAAGTACCTTTTAATCGAATGGTACATATTATTATAAACAGTCTGATATTATAGCAAATTAGGATATTTGTTTATCTTATTTTGTCACTAATTAAATAAATTATTTTGTATGTAAATTAAATATATCTACCTTTTATATGTAAACGTCTTGAATGATTAATGACTTAAAAAATAGAATATAAATCTCCAACTGTTGAACATTTATAATAAATAACAGATACACATCTAATTAGGATCCCTAGACTTCTACTTACTTCAATTAGTGGAGATATTTCAATAATTGATTAATTAAAAATGGTGGTATAAGCAGCATACCAACTAATTACGTCGAGTTATAATTGGAAGTTTTTATGATCGACACAAAATAAAAGCAGGCAAATTGGGTTCCTCATTATGTCTACCATTTTAATTATTGAAACTAATTGGTTATTTTAGTATTCCACAATCTTTTTTGTCATTTATCTCTCTACACTAATTAAGAAAATGGATCCAAGGCCGAAGTAATTGTTGAAAATTCAAGTTAGATTTACGTTATGTGTTTGTTAATTGATAAATTAATTGGCATAAAAAGGAATAATTCGCTGAAGACTTAGTGATAAAACAAAAATTATGTTTCTAAAAATTTTACAAGCACCACAAAACTATTATAAATAACAGGACCCAGGGCAACTTAACCGCCAGTTAGTATACAATTGTTTTCGATTATTTGAGCACGACGCCTTAGGCGAAGTGCTCAATTGTCTGAGTGCGATGTGAACAATCCACTCTAGTTGTACAGTATATTTTTTCTACGACCCACTAATGAAAATTTACAAATAAAAAAATATTTTAGGTTATTAAGCAGGGTTCAGAGGATATATATCAAGTGATATATATCATGATATATATCACGATATATATCATGATAATTATACGTTGATATATATCCGATATATTCGATAATTTTATTTATTAAATTAAAAATGTTTTCCACCATTCGAAATATCCGAAAATGTCTCAGTACGCCCCTGTACGAAAGATTCGACTGTCGCGCAAGTATCGCCGCGCCGACTTTGGGATTCCCAGCTTCGCCACTATTTGTTTTGTTATTGCTTTTACTTTCCCAAATAATCGCTATTTCTGTGTTTCCCCTCTGTGTTGACTGTTGTGTTAGGTTAATTGTGATTTTTATTCAAAATGCCAAAACCGAAGCATTCTGTTTGGCGATATTTTGAATGTATATTTAAAAACAAAAACAAAAACAGTTATGGAAAATGGGCAAAATGTCGAGAGTGCTCAAAGGAGATGCAGGGTATACCATCGCGAATGGAGAAACATATTTTAACACACCAAAAAAATATGCACAGTGATACTGTAAGCCGTGAAACAACACATTCTGTTCCTGAAGATGTTTTGCCTTCTACTTCAAAAAGAAGTGTCAACACATCAGGTAATTGTTATATTTATTATTACTAAATCTGTCTATAGACAATTTTTTTGTGGATATTGTAAGTAAAATTAATTAAAAAATATGTTGCTAATAACAGCTTTTTTTTAGAGAGCTATATGCCTCAGGCAACCAAAAAACAACATGTTTTAACCATGGCAAAAGACGCTGATGTTATTGCAACCTCAGACATGTACTCTAAAGAACTTAACCTCCAAATAGGCAGATATTTCTACGCAACTAATACACCTTTTGTGCATGCTGATCATACTGAATTTAAGAAAATGCTGAATTCATTACGGCCTGGTTATAATGGTCCCTCTTCACATCAAATTGGAGGACCTATTTTAAACGAAGTGTATGATGATATTTTGAAAGAGTGTAGGAATACATTACAGGAAGAAACAGTTTGTATGTCTCTAGATGGGTGGAGCAACGTTCGTAACGAGCCTCTGGTATGCTGAAGTATTATTACCCAAAATGGTGAGTCGTTCTTGGTGGATACTACTGAAACGAACACAATCACATACCGCAGAGTACCTTAAAAACATGGCACTTGAGGCAATAAGGAAAACAGAAAACCAATTTCAAGTTCATGTTAGGAGTATTCTCTCAGACAATACAGGAAATTTAAATAAAATGCGTTCCGAACTAGAAAAACAAATCGGCATAATACAATATGGATGTTCAGCTCACATTTTAAATTTATTGACAAAAGATTTGGATATTCCTTTAGCAACTGCAAATATTGTAAAAGTTATAAAATATTTTCGGAACAAACATGTACAAAGAGGCTGGAGGCAAAAAATTGGTTATACATCTGGAAATAAGGTGGAGCACAATGAACAATGCGCTTAAGTCATTTTTAGTTCAGTTATGCCAGGACCATAAAATGATATCGAAAGTGACATTATAAAGATAGTCAATGATGTACAGGTTGCATTAAATGCCACTGACCTAATTGCTCGTCTAGATGCAATAGCCATGGCTCTTGATAGAGTTCAAAGAGACTATACAACTATATCTGTGTGTGTAGAGGTGTGGCATAAATTAGAATTGGATTTCTCAGGACAGCCACTTTTAATAAAAAAAAGTTTCTTTAAAAGAAAAATATGGCACTTGGAAAAATGCATTATCTAGCAAACATTATTGATCACCGATTTCTGGGACAGCTACTCAAAAAGGAGAGGCTTTTAAGTATTTAAATAATATTAATAGTTCTTTTGTTCCATTTGTAATGTCTCTTATATCAACAATAAGCCCATTTCCAAAGTACTTTTTTGCAATCATTTTAGGCTTACTCCGCCAATAACGTGGTGGAAATTGGTTCCTGTATTGGACTGGCCAGACAAGAATTTTTTAGAATTGTGTGAACAGTTACATACTGTAGTGGCATCTACAGCAGGGATTGAAAGGACCTTTTCATCTTTCGGTTTGGTTCAATCGGATTTAGGAAACCAAAAAGCTAGTAGACTGGTTTTTATGTTTAAGCATATGAATCAAAGTGTAGGCAACAAGAAAACCAACCTTGACTGGGCATGGGAAACAAAATAATGTTAAAAACTGTTTGTTTTATTATTATTTTTTTTTTTTCATTTTAGAGTTAATAATAATTGCTTTTTTGTTTAGAATTTAAAATATAGGTTTTTAATTAGGTTATTATGTTAAAATAATAATGTTAATAAAATAATGTTAAAAGCTGTTTATTTTATTAATTATTTTTGTTTTTTCTTTTTAATTTGAGTTAAAATAAACGGTTCTGTTAAATATAGGTTTTTGATAATTTGTTTGTGTTAAAATTTAAAATATAGTGTGTGCAAGAAACAATACTGTTTTTTAATTAAATAAGTAAATTTTAAAATTGATATATATCATGTGATATGATATTTATATAAATATCATGATATTTTCGAACCCTGTTATTAAGACAATAACTAATTTAGAAATAATTTATGACTTTTAATAATTTTTAAAATAAAATAAACGATTTCTCCATTCGAGAATCTATATCCAATCTTCCTTGTGGAAGGCCAGAACGCTGACCGCAGGACCACCTATTCTTTTATTTTTGTTGCTATGATATTCGTAAATAAATTGACTTCATACAGTTTTATTTAAATTAACAAATAATTTATAATTATAGACTAAATAAAAACAGAAATGCTATTATTTATCGGTTCTACACAAGAATAACCCATTTTAACGTGTTCTCAATAACTAAAAAATATACTCACAATTATTATTTTTTTTTTCCTTAAGGGTTTTGGCTTTGGTAATTATATCCATTTGCCACAGATAAGTATTAATTCACCGAAATTGAAATAAAGAAAATTTTAAATAATTTAAATTAATATTATATATCTAATTGTATGATTCGTAGGAAATTTAATAATAAATCAAATATGATTTTATTTTAAGTACTTAGAAGATAAAAGTTGACACCGCGTTAAAGATAATTGGAAGTTTTGAGTAAGCTTCAACAAGTGGTGGATAATTCTTTTTCGCCCAATATTTGTTTGTCAAATTTTCAATATACATTTCAAACATTTTTTTATTTATTGAATTATCTGATTGAAAATACTTTATTTAAGAAGTTTTTTTTTTAAAGGATAGCATTGATCTTCTTATTTCAAGGGGTGGTTCTTGTGCTTCAGCCAAAATTGCATTTATAGGTGAGGATTTTAAAGCACCTATACATATTCTTACAGCAGCATATTGCACTCTATCAATTTTTTTGAGGTAAACATTTGCAGCTGCTCCGTACAAGACAGATCCATAGTCAATTATAGAACGTATATATGCTTTGTAAAAGAGTAGAGATGTATAAGGGTCAGCTCCCCACTTGGTTTTAGTTACACATTTCAACAAGGTCATCCCTTTCTCACATTTACTTTTGATATGGTTAATATGGTCCCTCCAGATTAGCTTATTATCTAGGACCACGCCTAAATATTTGTCCTCTGAATGGGTATATTAAGACCACACAAAGTAATATTCGGAGGAGTATACAGCCTGTGTCTCGTGAAAAACACGATTGCCGATTTTTCAGGTGATATTGTAAACGAGTGATCACTAAACCATATTTTTAAGCAATAAAGAATGTATTTAAGTTCTTTGATACATTGTCTATAACTGTTCTGTACGGTGTAAAAACAAAAATCGTCAACATATTGAATACAATTAATGTGAGAATCACGGAAATTGTGCAGACTGTAAGTATATGCGTTAAACAAAATAGGACTTAGAACCGCCCCTTGAGGTAATCCTTGATTGACTATTCTAGGTCCATGTAAATTATTATATTGATCTTTAATGGATATTTTGCGATTTCTGAATATATCCACAACTTAGTTGCAGCATGTCTAATGAGGCGTATGGCCGAACTTTTGTCTCATCTATACCGTAGTGATGTCTCAGATGATAGTAGAGAACTCGTAATGCGGCGTTGTGCCTGTAGATGTACCCATACACAGCTTGCACCGAGCAAGCGGACAAAAGATGCATTAATGTCTTCGGATCTTGTTGGCATGTTCTGCATCTAAAATAACAGCCGTGTTCAGTGGTTCAGTTACACTATTTACACCATTACGCCGCGCTGAGTCAGCTGTTCTTGCTCTGTTGCCAGATTGAAGCTCTGCTGGCCTATTTTAATATTTTGGTATTTTTTGGGGCCTCTTAAATATGAGGCCCTAGGCTAGCGCCTAGTGAGCTAAGTGGTAAAACTGGCTCTGAACATGGTTGATAATCACTGACGAACATTTTAAAACTATTTTTCCTCCCTGGAATGATTTTTTTGGCTGGATTTTATATATTTTGGCCTGCTGAATCCGGATCTGGCCTCAGATTTTCGATATCAGCCTTCAATAATAAGGGAGGGACATATGCTTTAATATTAAGAAAAAGTCAATAAAAACCCCTTTCAATGCCGATTTATTAAATTTAAACAATTAAAAACCTATAATATATTTTATTAACAGTTAGCTTAGGTACAGTATAAACATTTATAAATAATTTAAAATTTATTATTTACTTCCATAAGTCGTTCTTTTATAAGAACTTCTGGATGTGTCTCGTATTAGGGTCCAGCTCATCTGATACTGCTCCTAAATTTTCCAAGTCCAAACAAGAATGGAGAAAGTGAAGTTTTAGTGACATGTTGCATTCTAAAATATGATAGGCTGTGAGTAGTTCTTCCACGAGTTCACGATAATTTTCTGATTTATTATTTCCAAGAAAATTGTTGCAAACACTTTCAAATGCATTCCATGCCCGATTTTCATTGTCACTTAAAATTTGCCCGAAGTTCGCATCTTTAAACAATTGCCTAATTTGGGGACCAACAAAAATTCCTTCTTTAATTTTGGCCTCACTTATACGTGGAAATTTGTCTTTTAAATACTTGAAAGCATTTCCTTCTCTATCCAGTGCTTTAACAAAATTTTTGATCAGACCCAGCTTAATGTGAAGTGGAGGTAAATATATTTTTTCTTTCTGAACTAATGGTTCTCGGGTCAAATTTTTAACGCCAACTTGTATTGTGTCACGTGGAGGCCAAACCTTAATTTTATAATGTTTGTCTCTTGCACGGCTGTCCCATTTACACAAAAAGCAACAGTATTTTGTATATCCTGATTGCAGTCCTGTCAGTAACGCCACCACTTTTAAATCTGCACATATGTTCCATTTGTGATCTTCGTACTTTACGCATCTTAGTAACATCTTAAGATTGTCATATGTTTCTTTCATATTTACCGAATGACCTATAGGAACCGATGGATGCTCGTTTCCATTAAAAAGTAAAACAGCTTTTAAACTTGTTTTAGACGAATCTATGAATAGTCTCCATTTATCGGGAGTATATGGTAAGTTCAGTTCGGTCATTAGGCCAGGTATGTCATGGCAAAATACTAAATCACCTTCCACTACAAAAAAATTTGTGAGAATAGATTGCCTTTTCCTGTAGATGGACACCTTCACTCCTTTTTCCAAGAGCTTCCACTGCTGCAGGCGGGATCCGAGAAGTTCAGCTTTTGTTTTCGGGAAGTCCAAGTCACGAACAAGGTCATTTAATTCACCTTGAGTGATTAAATGGGGTGTATCAGGCAAATCATGAGAACTAGGGATGTAGCTTGGTCCGGCTTCTGGTGAAATACTTCCGGAGTCTGATTCGGAATCAAGCGTGTAACTCTGAGGTGGCTGGGGAATGGGTAATGAGTTGTCATGGGGCACTGGTGGCATTGCAGAAAGAATATTGGGGTACTGAATGCTACGATTGGTTTTGTTAGTAATTCCTTTAATATTCGTCATGCAAAAATAACAACCATCTACGTGATTATGAGGTTCCCTATAAACCATTGGAACTGGGAATGGCATAGATTTATGAGTACCTTTCACCCATCCAGTCAATGTTCTCGAGCACGAACTGCAACACATTTTTGGGGTCCAGGACCTATCTTGATCGCCATCTTTGCATCCAAAGTACAGTTCATAGGCCTTTTTTACTAATGAAGATATCGGTTTTTGGTACGCTTTCGCGGTAACTTCGCCATAAATATAACAGAAGCTATCGGCTTTATAAACGCAAACGCGCATCGTTATTTTTGGTACCGTTTTAACACGCACGTAGATCTAAGCGAAAATATGAATAGATGTTTACTAAATGATTTTCTGGTAACGACTAAAGGAATATTTCAAGCATAGATCCAACTACCTGCAAATAACAATGGGGCGACCGTTTATTACCTATTAATGGGCCTATTCGACCCTTCCAAGAAATCTGAGGCTAATATAAACATTTGTCGATTAGTTGTATATTAGTTTAAGATAAAACCTAACGCACACAAAACTGCGATTACTTCTAGATTTGTTATTTTTTATTCGATATTTATGAAAATTCAGATAGCAATTCGAAAGTAATAATTGTTTCAGTGACAGTCCTTGATTTTTTTGTAAACCTTTGAAACATATTTTTTTTAACTATTTAATCGACTTTTGGGAAAAAAGTTTTCTCCTCAAAACTGTACCAAACCTGCAATATTTTGCCGATTTTGTTTTTTTTTTATATCAAGTGTAATGAGAAGTATTCCCACCTTTTTGTATTAAAACTCCGTAAGGTGCTGCCACCGCTTATTTTAACCTGTTCGCTTATTCTCAGTTGCACATTGTAATCAAAGGGTTACCAGAGGCGCGCGTCGAATTAGTCATTTATTTTATATACGAAGAGAACATAAAATTTTTATCGATTTAAGCGCTTTTGAGTGAACATGGGTAGAAGAAATTTTGATAAAGGACATTTAACGTTGTGTGCTAAAAGAAAAAGTCGTCGAAATATAATGAAATCGTGAGTATTTTATTTATAAAAGCAATGTTTAGTTATAATTTTCTTCTTGAAAAGTAAAATATAATTTATATTCCAGCTATTATGAAAATCGGAGATTGCAAAACATTGTTCAGCCTTTAACTGAATTGCAGAATGTTGAGGAAACCTGTGCTGGGTAAGTCGTAAAATAAAAGTTTATCTAAAAATTTTAGTGCCGTTTTTTAAAATTTAAATTCATATAGAAGAATCAACTATTGTGTAATTAAAAAAAAAATTGTTTGACATTTCAATATTTTCCTATAAACTTTAATAGAAAAATAAGCTTAAGCATTATATTCATTATAATATTATTAATTATGTTTATTCCTTCTTTCAATACATAATTAGAAAAAGAAAAAAAAATACACATTCCATTTTAAAAGTACAAAAAACGAGGATATTATAATATGTGTATATTAGATAAACATAAGATACAAGTGATTATAGGATGATTTAAATGGTTCTATATAAGTTATAAAAAAAATATTACTAATTTGAATTTTTGAATGAGGCTAAATATATATCAGTACTTCTAGTTTCTTGTCTACCCGTCATTACAATATATTTTTTAAAAATAGATTTAATCATATTTGAATTGAGTGTTTGCAAATGAATCACTGATTACAGAAACACCCTAAGTCCACTTTCGGCCATATTTGAGTTAAATACGGTAAGTCGTTCAAAATATGTAGACCTATTAATTGAGCACATAAACAACCGAAGTCCAATACGTGAATAATATATTATACGTCCCGACAATATAGGCTGAGCGCAGAAACACCCTTAGTCCGTGACTTAAGTTGATTCTGCACTCATTCGCGCGCTCATCGTTTCTATTGGCAGATGGCTCTGCCTGACTAAAATCGTCTGTTCGATGCATTTTGTTGTAAACGGTGATTGCGTGCAGTTGTATTTAAGTCACCAAGCAGTGTATAATAGTGTTTTGACTAAAAAGGTATGTAAAAAATAAGGTTTGAAATCGTTTTTTTATTAGCGAATTTGTATCGTTTTAGCATCATGAGTGATACTGAATTAGAACAATCGACGACTATTAAAAAAAGGACAAGGAACGACGAATTGTACCAAAGAAATAAAATTAAGAAAGCTCGGGTTAAAGGTGAATGTTATACTAGCTACGGAAATGTGATAGTTCCTGCTAGGCTACCAAGAGCTTGTGATTGTAAAAAAAGATGCACCGAAAAAATTATCGATGTGGAAAAAGAAGAAATATTTAAAAAGTTTTACGAGATATCCTCTAAGAACGAGCAAGATGTATTTCTACAAGGGTTGATAATTTGTAAAGAAATTAAACGCAGGAGACCACGTAAAGAAGGTGCAAAGAATAGAGGTAGCTCTTTTTCTTATAACATATTAGTTGGCAACGCCAGAAGAGAGGTTTGCAAAGATGCATTTTATGGTTTGTACGGTGTTTCAAACGAACGTGTAAAGAGAATTAGACGACTGATACAAGCTGGATGTACCCCAATTGACAAGAAAGGAAAACAAAGGAGTGGTAACGCTAAGAAACCATCAGAAATTATTTTGGTTACTGAACATATTTCCATGTTCCCCGTCAAACAAACGCATTATGGTGCTCGCGAATTTAACTACCTTGATGCAGAGTTAAACGTGAAAATAATGTACTCTTTATTTCTGGAAAAGAATCCAACATCAAAAATCAAGTATGAGTACTATAATAAAATTTTCAGGGAAAATTTCAACTTATCATTCGGGAGACCACAGGTAGATGTGTGTAACGAGTGTAAGACGATCGCATTAAAGCTAAAAAACAAATCTCTTAACGACACGTCAAAAAGGGTTGCTGCAGCAGAACTCATGGTTCACAAACGACGATCTAAGAAATTCTATAATACTTTAAAGGCCTCCAAAGAGGCTTGTCGCAATTAAGATAACGTCCTTGCAATTTCGTTTGATTACATGCAAAATTTGCAGCTGCCTCGATGTCCTGCTCAAGACTTATTTTATTTAAGTCAACTCACTGTGAGTGTGTTTGGTGTGCACAATATGAAAACAGATGAAGCTGTTTTTTTCCTGTACCATGAAGGGCACGCAAGAAAGAGCCCAAATGAAGTTTGTTCGTTCCTGTTGCAGTATATTATCAGCTACGTTGGTGACCACATTACAGAGTTACATCTGTTTTGCGATAATTGCCCAGGGCAAAATAAAAATCATGTTTTTCTTCGATTTTGTTCAGCTCTTGTAAGCTCTGGTCGGTTTGCATAGGTTGAAATTTTTTTTCGTATTCGTGGACATTCGTTTTTGCCGTCCGATAGGGATTTTGGTGTCATAAAACGAAAATTAAAAAAAATAGACAGAGTCTACACTACAAAGGAATATGTTGAGATAATAGTCAGCTCCTCAGTTAAACATAATTTTACGGTTCATCATGTAAATTCCTCACAAATCAAAGACTTTCGCAACTGGTGGGGGTAAATACTTTAAAAAGGATGTTATTTCAGTAGAAACCTCAGCCAGATCAGTACCCAGAAGTGCAAAAAATCGCTTCAATATTTCAAAATTTCATTACTTTCTATTTAAAGAAGAAAATGGCAAAGGTGTTATTGTTGCGAAGGATTATATTGGTGGAATTATAGAACATACCTTTCCATTACTACTGCCGGGTGTGGTGACTATTGATTTTCCAAAAGAATCTGCTATTCCCAACGGAAAAAATCCTATTTCTGACAAAAAAATGGAGCATATAAAGAAGGCTTACACGTTTGTTGGTCAAAATGAAGAAGTCCAGAGCTTTTGGAGGGAAATTTTGGAGTGGCCGACAGTTTCAAAGGATGTTTAATTATTGTTTTATATGTTTTCGCTAATTATCTCTAAACACATCATTTGCGACTTAGGTTGTTTCTGAAATCAGTGATTCAAATATATTCTATAAATGTCTGGTAAATTATAATATATTTTGAATGCTAGGTGAGTATAACATCTGAGGTAAACTTTTTTTTCTACATATCTTCAGTATTTTTTTTATATCTTGTAGAGTGACTGGCTAATTATGTTTAAAATATTTTTTTATTTTAAGCAGGTAAATTATTATTTATTGCATAAAGAGCTGTCTTATATCCAAAATACCAGTTTCAAAAAATAAGTCAGATGGAAAAGTGATTTTTTTTACTATAAATGATTTCTAATATTTTTTCTGTAGAATATCTAATTGTTTTAAATGACAGTATACAGCTTCGCCCCAACTTAGTATAGCATAATTCAGTCGCGATTCCAGTAAAGAATAATATAAATTTTTTAGGTGTAATAATATTATATTAATAATATAGTTTTTATTAAGACATTCGGGGCGAGGGGTTTGGTTACAAAAACAATGTAATTAGGATTATTAATAAACGGATAAAATTTAAATTCACAGCGTAATAGATTATATTAAGCTGGTCTACCTGAAGTCTCCTAGAAAAAAGCCATACCGGGAAAAACCCCTAATGTGTTTGGCCAATATTAAAAACAATTAGGAATTTTATATTTCGATTTGATTGGTACTTAAATTATAATAATGAAAATTACTTATTACTTGTTAAGTAGACTAGTTCGGACATGACCTACAGGATGTTTTTTTTTAGTGCAGCATGAGGGATAAATTACAAAGAGTTGATATTTTGTATAAAAAATTATAATTTAACGTAAACAACTTTTGATAGATCCTTTAAAATCTGTAAAATGACAGTCCCGTTATACTTAATGCTAACAAAAGTTAACTAAATTAAAAATCACATTTAAAAACAAGAGTAGTTAAAGTTTACGAGTTTTTCTCGAATTGATTTGACCACTATTGATTTTAAGTTACAGAAAAATAGTTAGGGGTTCTTAAAGATCAATATCATGTTTATTTAAAATTAAAACTCAATATAGAAAAACACGGCGAAAATTTGAAAAACGACCCTCAGTTTCTTTATGGCAAATGGCTTTCGTTCGAATATGCTAAATTTTATATATGTTAGTTTTTGACCACCTGATTAAAAGTGTACACGGACATTTTTGATCTTCTGATTAAAAAACTTCTCCCATGACTACTTTTTGAAATACAGAATGTTAAGTAATTTTTTAAATTAACTTGAGTAACTTAAAAAAATCGCTTGACGCCTGAAATAGTGATTATAAATGGATTATTTTACATTTTTGAACTAAATTCGTTTTTATAGAACAAGCACTGCCGTTGAATCGAGGGCCCACCCAAATACTAGTCAAGAAATAGAGAGCACCACAAAAAGTATTACTGAGGATAGTAGCTGCAATACTACAAATCAATTAAAAATATACATCTCGCAGAAGCCATCATTTCAAAAAAAATTAAATGGGCTCAAATAGAAAATGAAGAATTAAAATTACACAGGAATCATATGTATTACTATCAAGTCCAAGGGCAGTTTGAGGTAGCAAATAAAGAAATATGTTATTTCATAATATGGAGTCCAAAAGGACTGCTGATAGAAAAGGTACTCTATAATATAAAAATTAAACGAATAATTACATAGGTCATTGTTTATTTATTTCAGATTGCAAGAGACAAACACTTTTGGAAGAACCATATGATAAATAAATTACAAATATTTTTTTACAACTGCTTGCTTCCGGAATTAGTCGATCCGAGATTTCCAAGAGGATTGCCAATAAGAGACAATCAACGAAACGAACTAATTAGTAACCAAACAAAATATCAGTTTTGTACAATTATACTTTTTATTTTATTATAAAAAAATGAGCCTAATAAAATAATTTATTTATTGTACGGTATACACCGTGTCCCACGTAAGGCGGGCATTACAACTTTATGGAGAATAAATTAATTTGTATTTTCGCCATTTTCTGAGTATACATAATCGAATATGCTCTTTTGAATTAAAATAAAATGAACTCTGTGCAACTTCCGGTTATACCGGAAGTGACCACTAACTTCGTTATTTTAAAGGGAATACCCCATATTTTTTTTTAATTTTAGATTCAGCATGAAATTCTGTAAACAACGATACCCCATTTGCCTATTCTAGTTATAGCGGATTTGGCGTTATTAAATTTTTTTCTACATTTTTTAAAGTCGTCTATCTCAGGTACTATATCTATCAGATACTTAAAATTTCAACCAGAGGTAGTAGATGGGATGTACTTCTTGAGAATATTTAGTTATTCATTATTTGTTGTACGGGGTGTTTGCAAATTATTTTTAAAAATGAAATTTTTTAAACATAAAAAACTTTTTTATTTTAAATTGAACACCCTATATATTTTTTAAATTTTAGATTCAGCATGAAATTATGTAAACAATGATACCCCATTCGCCTATTCTAATTATAGTGTATTTGGCGTTATTCAGTTTTTTATAAACTTTTATATGCCGGCAGACATTTGCTTTTTTAAATTTACTTGTACAGTTTGTTCGACTGTGTGTTTGGAAATTATTTTAAAAAATAAATATTTAAAACATGAAATTTTTTTTTATTTTAAATGGAAAATCCTGTATAATTTTATTTCATTTTGTTCAGAAAATTATTCTTCATTGATCTTCATTTGCACTATTAATTCCCTATAATTATCTCTCGCCAATTTTAAGAAAATTTAAATTTAAATTTTACGCATGCACCTACATAATATAGTATAGTTTTACATTTTAATTTTTTATCTTAGTATGCCGTGGAAATATGCTAAACAACAATCTGTCAACAAACTGAATTGTCATATTTCTATGTATTTAAGTTGTGTATTTTTTGCGTTCAAAATATGGAAAATATGAAAAATATTGAAGAATATACCAACCAAGATATTCTTAATTTATTTTACATTCATGGAGAATGCAATCGAATCAAAAGTAGAACCTGCCGCATGTTTAATGAACGATACCCTCATTTACCACCAATGAACAGACAGAAATTTGATAGAATCGAAGCTAACTTTTTGAATAATTTTAAACAAAACCCGGGAAGAAACCGTCAACATTATGTCCGAGATGAAGAAGTTAATCTAATTAACGTATTAGGGTATTTTACTGCGTATCCTCACGCCTCCATTAGAATGGCTCAAGATAATTTAAATATTAGTCGAGGGTCAATACAACGAATTTAAGCACTAAATAAATGGCATCCCTATGCACAAAGAAAAGTTCATGAGTTGCGAGATGGTGATCAAATAAGACGAACTGAATTATGCGAATGGTTATTGGTACGAATTCAAGAAGATCCCGAGATTTTAAACAAAATTTTGTGGTCAGATGAGTCGAAATTTACACGTAAAGGGATCATCAATCGCAAGCAATGTCATTTCTGGGCAAACGAAAATCCACATTTTTATCGTGAAGCACAATTTCAGTACGAATTTAGTTTTAATGTGTTTGCAGTGATCGGTTTTGGAAGAGCTTTTTATTACATTTATAATGAAAGACTGACCTCAGAAAGATACATTAGAATTCTTAGAGAAGTAGTTGCCGACATTTTAAACCAGCTACCAAATAATAATTTTTGGTATCAGTTGGATGGTGCCCCAGCACATTCAACATACTATGTAAATCAAGAAATTACAGCACTCTTTGAAGACCGATGGATAGGTCCAAATGGTCCTTGGCTTTGGCCTGCAAGATCGCCAGATCTAACTTCTGTTGATTTTTTTTATGGGGTCATATTAAAAATTTAGTGTACTCTACCCAAATTAATACTAAAGAAGAATTAGAGCAAAGAGTTCGGAATGCCTTTAACGAGTTACATGGTGAAATGATTCGTAAAGCAACAACTAATCATGTTAAAAAAAGATTGTTAAAATATTTAGAAGCTAACGGGGGGCATTTTAAACATTTGATAAAATGATTTTTTTAAACCATGTGCTTTTAATAAAAATTGTTTTTAGTTAGTATGTACCTTATCATTAAAAAAATTTAAACTTTTTAAACGACCTATTTTGTTGCAGAAAACTGTAAATGTTTTTAAAAGTACATCCCATCTACTACTTCTGGCTAAAATTTCAAGTATCCAACAGAAATAGTACCTAAGACAGTCGACTTTAAGAAAATGCCTACCGGCGCGACGACTAAAAATTAAAAAAAAAAATGAATAACGCCAAATCCGCTATAATTAGAATAGGTAGAATGGTATTATTGTTTACAGAATTTCATGCTGAATCCTAATTTTAAAAAATATATAGGGTGTTCCCTTTAAAATAAAAAAGTTTTTTTATGTTTAAAAAATTTCATTTTTAAAAATAATTTGCAAACACCCTGTACAACAAATAATGAATAACTAAATATTCTCAAGAAGAACATCCCATCTACTACCTCTGGTTAAAATTTTAAGTATCTGATAGATATAGTACCTGAGATAGACGACTTTAAGAAAATGTCTACCGGCGACTAAAAATGTAGAACAAAATTGAATAACGCCAAATCCGCTATAACTAGAATAGGCAAATGGGGTATCGTTGTTTACAGAATTTCATGCTGAATCTAAAATTAAAAAAAAATATGGGGTATTCCCTTTAAAATAACGAAGTTAGTGGTCACTTCCGGTATAACCAGAAGTTGCACAGAGTTCATTTTATTTTAATTCAAAAGAGCATATTCGATTATGTATACTCAGAAAATGGCGAAAATACAAATTAATTTATTTTCCATAAAGTTGTAATGCCCGCCTTACGTGGGACACGGTGTATATATTTTTTGGCTTTGGTATGTATAAGTTATAAGCTATAAATAAAAAAAAAACAAGAAAGAAAATAGACTTTTATTGCTGGAAGGTCTCAAGTTCTTAAAAAACGCAGAGAGAAAGGTACGGTGGATTTTAGTTCACTTTTTTGTTTAAT